AGGAGCAGGGAAATGGCACTCTTGCCTGAGATGCTACGTCTCTCTGTGCTTCAAAGTTACCTTGCAAAGCAAGTGGGGGGGGGTCCTCTGCAGCTGGGGGATCCACTGTGATTCAAACAGACTGATCCTTATTTCATGAAAATACTTGCTTTCTGAATCATGGAAATGTAATATCTCTTTACTCCACTTGGGCTTTGAGATTCTGGAAAACTTTGGCATATTTCCCATCAGTGTGATCTCCTTTGGAAAGAAAGAAAGAAGAGTGGTTTTTTTTCATGCCATCTGTTGTCTTTCCTACATCCCGTGTGCCTAATTCCATGTGATTGACTGTACCTCACCCGCAGAACTTGCCTATTAGCTAGACCTCACAATATCTTCATACACTGTACTGGATTCATCCCCCTTCCTGCTGCAGGACAATAGTCCTTCCTTTCATAGTGAGGCCCTCACTCAATGGCAGCTGGTGTTTCAGTTGTTAATCCCCATATGGAGTTTCTGCCATTGCAGGGTAGCTGTAACTTCCATTCCTGGGGTCTCTGCCCAAGGAGGTAGCTGTGGGAATATAGCAGTGGCACCCACCCCTGCTTTCCACACCCAAGTAGTGTGGTGCTTCTGCGCAGCGCGTGGGAGCCCAGGGAAGGGACACTTCTCGTGGTCCCCTCTGGCAGTCTTGTTGCCATTGCATATCTTCCCCCAGATATTACCTGCCATGCAGAATCCAAAATAAAAGAACATTTTGCAAGGGAAAGGATCCATCCTGCTGGCAAATACTTCTCCTTTCAACTTTAACATGAAGAAGAAAGCTTGTGAAGGAAAAACAGTAAGTCTGAGGCAGGAAAGAATGCCTGCAGTGAGAATGGGTGCCTGTGTGTGGAGGGGCTCCCAGGTGGGCTGCAGGCACTCACCCACTGCAGGGCTGGGCTGGGCAGAGCCCGGGGCAGCCCTAGCACGGTTACTTGTCACTGCTTTGGCCCAAGCGTCACGTCGGTAAAAACAAAGCGCAGCACTAGTGGAAACTAGCTGGAGACCATGTGTTGTCAAGCACTTCTCTGCCTACTGCTCCAGATGGAGACCACATGGAGGCCAAAGTAAAAGTGCAGCAAATGAACCTAATCCTCTAATTCTCTGCCTGCAGTGAAATGGGCTCTCACTGTTGCGCTCCTAATGAAAAAGGAAGTAGTCAGTCATCTGTCTAGGTTGCACTCACTGCTTCTCATCGGCAGAACTCAATTTTACCATGACTGGCTAAAGTAGCAGAGAAAAACAAATTAAAATCTATTTTTTAGCCTATTTTGCAAAAGAAATAAGAAACACATTTTTCATTTGGGAGGATAGCAACAAGCAGCAGCTTTTTTTTTTTGTACTGGTTTTGTTTTATAAGAAGCAATTTCCCCAACTTTTCTAATTACCCACTATAACCCTTTGATCTCCCTCTAACCTTGCTATTAATTACTTCTCTAAATAAAGCGGCAGTAGCCCCTTTTCACAAGACTTTTATTCTCCTTAGGACCAATACAACTGCCATCAAAGAGGGTAAAAGGCTTTCAGTTCTCTTTAGACAAAGGAACTTGCACTAGGCTCTTTGTGAAAATGCATAATCCACCATTAAAAGTAAGGCAGGTCACTCCTCCATTCTTCTCCTTCTGTTGGTTTTAGTGGAAGTGAATCACCACAGAGGTAGAAATCCTGATACTAACAGAAAATAGTAGTGTTCCCAGCAAATACTATGCAACATACAAATAAAGGACTGCCTCTCCTGCCATATATCATGTACACAGTGTTGCTTTACTTACCGGAGTGGCTAACAAAATCTTTTTTCTTTTTCTTTTAATAACATGTCCAGGAAAATAATAAAAGGCAAGATTTCCACATGCTGTTGTTTACAGCTGTCTAGCCTATACTGTGAAATGTACATGGCAGCTCTTTGGAGCTGAGATCTTTTTGTTTGCTAGCCATACAGCTGGAAATCCTGTTCTGAATGTCCTGGAAATTCATGGGCAAGTACAGAACTAATTGCTATAATGTATTTTTAAGTATCTGATGAATTACAGACATAGCACACTCTAGTCAAATTATAACTGCCAGCAATTATATTTGATGTAAGGAGGGTACAGACTAATCTTCTGTCAATGTGCTTGTGTAACTTTCATGAGAGTTTCAAGCTGTGTAACTTAGTGTTTAATAGAAATGACACTGGCATGGGGAAATTTTTATTCCACAAGGCATGGAGATAATGATCTCTCAATCAGTTATTGAACTCTTAAAATCCCAGTAACTCAGATAAAAATTTCCCACAATGCATTTTAGATTGTGACTTGATTCAGTGTCCTGATCCAAATTGTTTCACATAGATTTTGTTGCTGCCCAGGCAGTTCTGGGCTATTTTCACGAAAGCTGTAAATGAAATCAGAGCTTAGACTAACACGTAGCGTGCCTTGGAAGGAAAACTAGGCATGCAGGTAGGGTGGGAGCTGCAGTATGGTGCAATCAGGAGGCTGGGACTTCAGAGCAGGCTGTGGAGTATTCATAAGGTCATAGGATAATTTTTCAAGTTGCAAGGGACCTCAGGGTGCCTCTAGCCCATCTCTTAGATCAGACCAGCTTGCTCAGGGCTTTATCCAGGCAGGTCTTGGAAACCTCCAAGCATAGAGATGGCACAGCTTCTCTGAGCAGCCTGCCCCACTGCTTGGCAGTCTTCATGGGGAAAAAGTTCCTCCTTATTTCGAGGCTGATCATCTCGTGTTTCAACTTGAGCCTGATGCCTCTCATCCTCCCACCATACACACTATGAAGTGCTCAGCTGGACTCGTTCCAGTTTATTGATGTCTTTCCTGTAATGGGGGGCCCCAAACTGGATGCAGTAACTAGATGTGGTCTAATGAGGGCTGACTGGAGGGGGACAGTCACTTCCCTGATCTGCTGGCTGTGCTCCTGCCAATACATGTTGGCAATGTTGGCCTTCACTGGTGCCAGAGCATCCTGCAGGCTCATGATTAGCTTGTTGCCCGCCAGGACCCCCGGGCCTTTTCTGCAGAGCTGTTCCCCAGCCTCTGGTCCCAGCCCGTCCTGTCACAGGGAGCTCTTCCTGCCCAAGACAAGATTTTGCGTTTGTCCCTGTCAGCTTTCATGTGGTTCCTGTTAGCCCACTCCTCCAGCCTGTCTATGTCCCTCTGGATGCCAGCTCAGCCAATCACCCCAGTTTGGTATCATCTTCAAACTTGAGGAGAGAGCAGTCATCTCTGCCGGGTCACTGATAAAGATTCCTCTTCTGCAGCTTGAACATAGCCATTCAGATCAATTCTTACTCTGCTAGGAAGCCAATATCTGTTGAAAGGCTGACATTCAGAGTACGCTTCATCTTCAAGCACCTGACGAATTAACACTCAGTTCTTCGATGTGAACAACCATTTCTCCCTGATCGCCTCTCAGCTGCATCCTCTATTGCTACCTAACCTCACCTCCTGTCTTTATTCTCTTTGTTGCCATCCCACCCAACCTCCAACTGACTCCAAATATCTTCAAGCGGGAAAGCTTCTTCTCATGTAGCATTTGCATCATCTCTGCTTCTCTCCTTTTTCTTTTCCCTGAGACTTTTTATATTCTTCCCTTTTCCACTCTTACTGTGATCCTTCTTTTCTACACTTACCAGTCTAGGTCCTTTTTTGTCTTATCTTTTCCTGTCACTCTCTACCTTCTTATATTTCTCCTCTTTTCCATGGTTCCTGTCCTTCATATTAGTCTGTTTCCTCCTCTTTAAGAACAGTTTTCCTTTGCTACTACTTTGAAGTTGTAGTCCTGGAAGATACTTTGATTACATTAAATCAGAGCATTCCCAAGTGTTACTACTCAGTGTTATCAGTGCAGCTATCAAATGCAGGCAAGCAGCCAAGCCAAGATTATATTTCATCAGAATACACACTCCCAAGCACACCATCAGGAGAAGGTATTCCCTCAGATTGCTCATTTGTCTTCTTTATTTCAAAGCACTTCAATCGCAAGTTCAAAACCTAGTAACAGCCAAGAAGGAGCTTAACCTTTATGAATTCTGTGTTATGGGTTTTCAGAGTCTTTACTTGAGAACCACTTCCTTTCAGTGGGACTTGCTCTCTTGAATTATTCAGCTGTTTCTGAAAGCCATACCCTTGAATAATCCCACCTTATCTATGCAACAGAGAGATCATAAAAAATTCACAGATGTCATAACTGTAGACTGTGGTTCTATAACGTTTAGTCTATAATATGACTTACTTTAGCCTGTCAATTACATTTGTGGGCATTTTTCTGACTTGAGATTTGGGCTGAAAAACAAAATATTTTCAGGACATATTGCCTGAAAGACAGGGAACAAAAAACCAAACATTTTTCTTATTTTAATTTAAACGCAAGCCAAAATCACAATTTTATCAAAATGCTGAAAAGCATTCAATAAGAATGGTACTATTTGTATTACAGAAGACTAGTTTTGCTAAATAGAATTTAAATGACAAATTGGAAATGGTTTAATGAGGATAGTATCTTTGAAAATGACACGAGACTTATTTTTCAAAGGACAATACACAATAAACTTCTGAGAGACAATCTCATATTGAGTGCCAAAAAAATTCTACTGGTAGAAGAAAAGAGTAAAACTGTAAGCTATAACAGACATAAAAAGTATCAAATAAGGACTTTTTAAAAATTATTTTCAGAGAATACAAGAGTCATCATTTTTGTTTCTCACTTTGGAGTCATGTTGGATGTGAGAATTCTTTTGGCATAGCTGGTATCTTTATTCTGTAGAAAACTCATCATTTATCAGGAAAGTATATATATTTTGATAAGTATTACCCAGAATCTGAATATATCCAGATTTGTTAACAAGCCTTTTTTTTTTTTTTTGGGGGGGGGGGAGATAAACTAAACAGACTGAGCTTTTCATTGTGTGTTTGTATTAGTGGTTTTTTTTTTGTGGGGGGGGGGGGGGGTGGGAATGAGAAATAGATGGATAGACAAATCCAAATAATACAAACATTTGTTGACTTTCTTTTTTGAAAGACGAAGAAGATATTCAATTTATGTCAGTTTTAGATCAGATTTGTGGTGGTGGTGGTTTTGGAGGGGATATATTGTTTAACATAAAGGTGAGCTCTTAAGTTTGTATTATATGTGCTGTGTACTTAGTACACTATATTCATTTTGGCTCAAAACTTACTTCCAGGAGCACATCCAAATAAGCTCAACTTCTTTTTGCTGTTTTGCATGGTTCCTTTCTATAAAGTTAGTATTTAAATTTCATCATTTTTGCTGTTATTGTAGACTCTGATGGATTCTCTAATATCTTTCAGTTTGGGCATAAAGGAAAAAAGAAAGATGTTTAGCCGTAACAATATTGAAGGTCTCCTTCAGGTTCTTCTGGCTTGTTCACCAAAGCTCCCAGTTCAGTGGGGGACACTTTTTTTCAACAGCTCTCTCTCTCCATAGCTTTCATAGTGTTGATACTCTACAGTAAGAGATGTCAGAGGAGTTAAATAAGCCTCTGCCACGTTTCTGCTGTAGGCACTAGAGCAAAATGTGGAACTTGGATGTACCCCAAGTCCATTACTTGTTTTGCAGAATACAACCAAATGTCATGAATTCATAAAAAAACTGATACAAGCTATTTGCTTGGTACAAGTTAATCTAAGTCAACATCCTTCAGTCAATCCATTATCTTTTTGCTTTGACAGTGCAGAAAAGCTGGATTCTAGTTGGTGTTGGTGTTGCAGGACCCAAATTGGTTTCTTTCATTCCTCTTCTAAGATAATGTAAAATATAGTGTGAAATAATGATCTCCTTGCCCTAAATGTTCACTTCAGCATTAATAGCTTTTCTTTAACAACATAAATTATATCTGCTCTGTATATCTAAATTCTGCATTCAGTAACAGTAAACATATTCATTGATTTAACTCATTCACACTAATGTAAATGAGAAGAAAATATGAAACTAACACTAAAATACTTGAATCTGTTCTGAGGCGTAAAGTAAGTTTGTAGAATTGGTGCATTTGTCATTTTATCCACAAAAGAGATAAGGAGGACAGATTTATGAGTGACTTCTGCAAACTTTCTTTCTATTAGGGGAATTCTGGAGGTAATTTTGCTCAGATATAAGTTAGAGGAGCTTTTCAGCTGCTTTAGCTTATGCCAAATGGCATGCCACAATAAGAGCCCTTCCCCTGATTCAGGATTGCTCTGAGGATTGCAAAGAGTGTATGGGTTTTACTCAACCAAAGAATATAGCCGGAAAAAACAGAGAAGCTTTTGGACACCCAAGCCCATCCTCCGGTTTGAAAGGGCTGCTTGCCATAATTTGTTCTGGCTGGATGGCCTATGACTAATTCTCAGCACAGTTTCTGTACCAGCAAGGGGCAGGAGTGCACGTGTGCATTTCAGTACTTGTGTTTCTTTATTCATAATCTGCATTGCTTGTTAGTTGCATATTATACTGGATAATTGCAAGTTATTTTTAACAAATCGACTAGTATTGATAGATATGGTTAGGACAGGGCACAGTCCTGAGCCTGACAACTTTCCTAAAGCACAGTAAAAGGAGAGTTTTCCTGTGCCCTACGATCTGGAAGATGTTGGCAGTGGTCACAGGGAGAGTTAGAGAGAGTTTCTCTGCTGCGTTGCGGGGGCAGCGCCCTGGGCCCCAGCAGAGACTCTCCCCTGGGCGTTGGTGTGACCCCCAGAGGGACGCCTATAACACGTGACGAGGGCAATGCAGCGATCATGTGACTTTAATTATTTCCCTGAGGGGCGAATCATGTTTATGTTAAAATATTTTGAGGTTTGTGCTGAAGGTATAGAGGTATTTTTACTAACAGAAATGATTAGCTCTTAAGTGGATACAACACTGCTAAGAACCCAAATGAATGTTTCATAAGAACAGCCCACAATTCTGTGTTTATTGTGATAATAGCTTTTTACTTTTCTGCCATTTCCTGGAAACAATTCCTCACTGTTTGTGCAAGCTGCAGGGGGGGAAAGAGAGTGACCCATGAAGCAGCAGCTTGCACCGGGCTCCATTTAACTGACCAGCAGTAACTTCTGAAAAAGCTCTCACAAGAGCACAGTTTACAAACATGCGGTTTGGTAAGAGCGCTGTGTCAAGTATGCTGTGGAAATCTGTGTAGCAGCGGTGTCCTCTGAGGGCTGGGTGAGTGCTCTCCAGCTCAAAGGGAGAGGCAAGGCAAAGGCACAGCTGGGAGCAAGGGGAGAGAGGAGGAAAAGGGAACTTAGCAGGGACTAAGTGTTCCTCTCTCAGAAGTCTTGAGCAAAATTCTGCGGTGATACATAATAGCGATCAAAGCCCAGAAGAGGTTCAAAGGCAGCCCAGCGAGGACCTGCCCTGTGTCCCCCTCCTTGCCTAACGCCCTGAGAGGCAGGAGCGAGCGTGGAGGAGGTGGGCCGGCAGCGCGGCCGCTCCCTAACAAGCTTACCTTGGCCCCTCTGCCAGCATCCGCATCGGAGTGACACGCAGCATTTCTCTCCCACCATTCACCTCTGCTGGGCATTTGGCCGTCAGTGTCATCATCCCAAAAGTGAGGATCGTCTCCATGTGTCCTTTAGTGAATGAGCCAGGCCAGGGCTGTTGCGAGCTAGAAGGGGACACAGAAGACAGATCTGTGAGAGCTACACAGTACACAGACCCCTCCTCCTCGCTTTGGGTCATGTTTTGCGGGTGATGGATCTTCTTGCTATAACCTCATTTCACACATGAACCACACTCACTCTGCAAACTCAATGCCAGCTGAGGACAGACTGAATTACTGTAGCTCTTGCACCTACCTCAGAGGAGCTGGCTGGCAGCACACAACTTTTAGCTCAGCAAGGCTTTTGCCCATTCAGCATGCATGAAGACACCAAGAGCACACACACACACACACACACACACAGCCAATCCATTTATTATGCATTAATGAGGAAAGGCAGCAGTTCTGTTACAACGCAGACTGGCACAGCAGTCTCCCAGTCATCTTTTCTATCTACCCTTGCTCCTGCTTGGAGACCAGGCCACCTTTTCAGGTCTGACAAAAGTTTGTTAGCCCAAAACAGAATCATCTTTTTTATCATCTTCTTATCTCTCTAAAGGGACTTCTTCAGGAAACACACTCTGGGCTTACTATTTCTATGGACCTTTACTAAAAGATGCGATATTTTTACCCTAGAGATTGCCAGATGGCACTCACACACAGTTTTACAATTTATTTTTTATTGTATCCAAGGAAGATTTGTGCTTCGGGGGAAAGGACCATGTTGGTTTTCAGTACTGTTTCTTCCAGGGGAGCACTAGTAGGCAGCAAGGCAACTCACTGTCTCTGCAGTCAGAACCAGTTCTTAGGGCAAGTAATTCTTAGCAAGGGGAAACTGGTGTCTGAGAGAAAGGAAGGGGTATGCGTGCATTTTGATCATTTCAGTTACAGGATTGCTGTGTATATCTTCAAACAAAGCTAGAAACATGAAGCCATTAGACTGCCCCTTGGCAGAGGATATAATTAATTTTAAAAGTATGAAGGCACTGAGTTCATGTCCAAAATAATAATAGGGATTATTTCTTATTGAGCATTATGTATAATCCTCAGGTTTGCAGAAAAATAGCTAATTAAAATATCTTGTGTGTAGGTTTTACTGCTGAGATGACAATAAAAAAGAAAGCTGGAAAAATCTTGGTAGAAACCTTTCATTAAGAGTTCCAATGATCATGTTTGTAAACACTGCAGGTAAAAATAAAAGGGGCATCTTTGGGAACAAAGAATAAAGGCTGTTCCTAGAATACAGAATATTTTCTTAGAAAACAGTGATTCAGAGCGAAAAATAGGAAACATCATAAATAACTGCCTCAAAAGGAGCTGTAAGCGTCAATCTGTACAAATAGAGCAAAGACAATCCTTGGAAGACAAAAGGAATGGCAAGTAAAAAACATTGCGAACAATAGCAATGCCACCTAGCTGCTATCTGGGGCTTTTCACGATAGCTGCCAAAGCACAAAGGGAGTAAGAATTAGAACAGAGCTACTACTAAATATTTTTTGGTTTAGTCAAAACCAAGCCCCAAAACATAAATTAAAAAAAAACCCTCAGAATAAATGGAACATTTTTAATGGCAAAATAGAGAGTCTAATGAAATGAAACATTTAGGGCTTTTTGAGAATTATTTGATATGCTTTCATTTTGCAGTCAACTTTGAATAAAAATGTCATTTTCAAACTCAGAGTTTCATTTAATAGTGCTAAAAGGACTTTTTTTTTTTAATTACATTTTCCTCTGGCCTTTTTCCAAAAAATTGACCGAGAGTCCACTTCTCAAGGACTGTATTTTCTTTTTTGGCCGTCTCTATCAGAAAACAAATGTAAAGATCCCATCCCTAATCTGGTATTTCATGAAATCTCCACTAAAATATGGCACCCAGTTTTCTTGTTCGTATTTTGAAAAGAAAACATTAAACAAATTTCAAAAAAGGGCTACGTGTGTGGAAACCACACCCTTCCATGTGAAGCTTAAGGATAGCAGACCATTCAGCTTATCAAAATTAAGACTATGCAGTATTTACTCAGTGTCGATCGACCCCTGGCGAAAAGCTATCTGATACCTGGGGTGAATCTCATTTACCCTGCAAAAGGCCAGATGAGATCTAAGAGCGAGGCATTAACATCAGTAAACCTCAGGGTGGGTGACCAGTCTTCTGGGAGAGGTGGGAGAGCCTCGGCGTGCTGAAAATCTGGAAAAGGTCTCTTTCCACGATGCAGCTTAATCTAGCGTTAAGGGAAGGCAGGCAGCTGTCCAGGGGGCGGAGGGGCTGTGGCCGCCCCTCTGGGCCCGCGGCGGGGGC